AAAAGTTTGAACTCAAATCTAATTTGACCCTTCGAACCTTTACAGTTCTAGCCAATCAGATGTCCTGTGCAGTTTTTTTTTTATTTTTAAAGAATTAAACTTAATAGTATTAGTAAACATAATGTAAATATGAACTAAACTAGTCAGTAAGTAATCCAATAAACATATCTGCTATTTCGGGAAATAATAATTTTATTAATTCAATTAATCTATACTATTATAATAAAGCGTGAACACACACTTCTTTGTTGCCTAAGATGTCAGCAATCACAGCATATTTTAGAATAATTCTTTTTTTTAATAAAAAGCCCTACACTTACGTCACGCTTTAGGCTATATATTTTCGCGTCATTAAACTTAGGCGGTAAATATTTTGGCTAAAAACCCAAATGTGGGAAAGAGAACATAAGTTACTGCCAACATCAAGAAAGAAATATTGCTCATGTCATTTTGACATTTGCTATTGATAATTTGACAAATGTGAACAATAAAATGATTTTTTTATAATTTTATAAGGATGAAGTCGTATGGAAACAGCTAGTTATTATATAAAGAATAATGATTGGGATTAACTATTAATAAAATAATAAATCTAGTCACAAAAGTAGCTGGATTCAAAAAAATCTGCTGCTCGTATTTTGTCAATATTTATAAAAAAATTCAATTCCAAGAATACTAAAGTCACTTGTTAGTGAGCTAGATAGAATTCACTGCGAAGTCGAGTGAATGAAATTAAAAAATGTTTTTGCTCAATAGAAAACATTCTCGGCTTATTGAACCAACGTCTTTTCCACCGTTGAAAGGAAAAGATCGACTGTTTCGCCCGGGGCATCTCATTTGCTCCGTTTTATAGTGATAATGGCCCACCAGTGTATACGGCTGCGGACAAAAGCAGTGTGTGCAAGCGCAAAGGAGCTGCTAAAGTAAAGATGCAACAAAAAGGGAAACGAAAACTTTTCGTAGAAATTGCAATGTACATACCTTAATAGTGAGCATTTCTAAATGTAATATGTTGACCAAATAAATAATTCCATGTCTTTATAGAAGTGAAAAACGTGATTTATAACCTAAAAAGGTCTTTAACACGCTCACTGTGTAGCAGGCCGTTATCGACCTGACGCGGTACTACGGCGGACGAAGAAAACTATATACTTCTCGATAGCGCGAAACGATTATTTCAGGTGTATATTACATAAATGATTACATTATGTTTCCACAATGTTATATCAATTTAATCTATCCTAATGCTGGCGGGTCTAGAAAGACCTGCCACGCACTGGCGGAAATATCATTGGGGGCGCATTTCGGCCCGCCGTCTCACCAGATGGAAAATTATGATTTTACTTGCCACAGTAAACGTGTTAATAAGGTAATTATTTATTAAAAATGTATTCATTTTATTTCAAAATCAACTTTCCATTAACTTAAATGTGTGTTAATACATTTCAATACATTACTTGAGTGTTAAATTCAAACGTAAAATACGAAGGAATGATTAAAAAATCACCGAAGCTAAGTTGGCGGATGACCAACATTTTAAACTTCAGACTATCTCTTATTAACTGAGGCGGCTTGCAACTATTGTTCGGTTTGTTAGTTGTAACATGTTTGGAAACCATTCGAGTTGCGGGAACAAACTATCCACTTGCGGTTCAAAAGTCTTTGTAACATGACCAATTGTATTCGTGGAAATTATCTGGGCTGCACACAAAGTTTGAAGATACAACAATACATTACTGAGAAGTTACCTTTGGTATCATTTTAGCTTCGTAGTATTTTATTTTGGATATTAGTTAGAGATAATACGATTTATTTATAAAAACTATAACATAAGTAAATGTAATGTTAAACACGATTTTTCTTTATACAAATAAACAAACTGCCAAAATTAGTAAAGGTTAAGTTACTAAATAATGCAAGTCCGGGTGAACAGACTGTAATAAACAATCCAGAATAGCGTGTACAGTACTCATTTTTTTTTAATCCATGTAGACGAGTTCGCGAGCAAAGGCTTGTATAACATGAAGTAGAATAGTTAAAGAAATTATGATTTAACTATACGCTACACTTATATTCGTAGTCTGTCAATCTGTTGTCATCATCTCCCCCACCGTATCCTACTCCTGTAGGGTCATCACCGGGTTTTCGTCCTCCAAATAACTATTATCCGTCATCTAGGTCATCACTCCCTTCTGTATCATGTAACCTTTCACGCAATCCATCTCTTTCTAGGTCTACCTCTACCGGTATAACTTTCACAATCTGTACCGTAGTATTGAGTGAATATTTGTGAAGGACTATTAATTGTCAGTGATACTCTGACAGCGCTTTAAGAGACTTAAGTCCCCACTTTCCGACGCCGTGGCAAATTGTAATTCAGATGGATTTAGACTACCATAAGCACCGCATTACGGACTATTGGATTTGCTTTCAATGATAAATTATATTTGCTTAATAAGTAATTAATGTTATTTAACTTACTTTAATGTTATATCGAAAAAAAAAGAAGCGAACTTGTCATATTGACTAACATATCTTACTAACATTATAAATATGAAAGCTAAGATGGATGAATGTTTGTCAGAGTTTGTAGCCTAAACTGCTGAATGGATCTCGATGAAATTTGGTATAGATGAAGATACCCTGGAAGAACACATAGGCTACTTATTTTGTTTTTTTATTTTTACGAGGGACTCGCGGGCGAAAGCTAGTATACAATAAACATTCTATGGTGGCTGTCTAACAAAGTCTCTATAGAAATACTTAAATGTGATTTATTTTATTATGTTATACTCCACAGTTTAGTTCACTTGCGTAATAAATGATCGTTTCATTTTCAGAGACCACTCATCTCTCGTTTTATAAGTATTCAGTTATTTCAACATAATAGGATTACGATCTTTTGACATTTTATTATTTTCAGCCCATTTATATTATTAATTATATTTCACAGAACTTTTGTCAAACAATTTTGCCAAGTACGGTCAAACACCGAAACATCGAGTGGAGATATATTTTCTCCTTAGTTGAAAATATTAAGTTTTAAATCTGATAGCGAGATTTTAGTGTCTGAGAACCGTGATAGCTTTTTTATAATATACGTTTTTATAGAATATCTTTCATTAGCTAAAGATTTAGTGGCTAGTTAATGATTGTGGAATTCGCGTAAGTACGAAAAATTTGCACTCCTTTAAAAAACTAGCTGTTCCATTGACATTACGACAAACCATAGCAACCTTGCTCCCTTGCTATTGGCAGCAACTTATGGTCTCTTTCCCATATTAATGTTTTTATCCAAAATATTTACCCCCTAAGTTTAATGGCGTGAAATATGTAGCCTAAAGCGTGACGTAAGTGTAGGGCTTTTTATTA